CTCTTGAGATATAAAAGACAGAAGTGAGCAGTGAGACAGGGGGACCTCATACCATCAAGAAAGCAGGGCTGGGAGCAGAGCGTGTCCTTTGGACCGGGGTTCCTGCGCCGAAAAGCTCCTAGTCTGGAGGAACACTGAAGAGAAGAAGGCTGACAGAGAGAAAAAGCCTTCCGCTGGAGCTGATGCCCTGAATTTCGACTTTTAGCCTACTTTGACTATGAGGAAATAAACTTCTCTTCATTAAAACCATCCACTTGCGGTATTTCTGTTATGGCAGTACTAGATGACTAAGACAAATGGCAACGAGTTTCAGTTTTTATAGAGTTAGTTACATAATCTAAAACTTACTTAGTCATATTTAGTCCAAATTTTACTTCAAGGAATTTCAGCATGTGCCCATTTTCTTTGTGTGGGACAAACATCTAAAGGAGAAAAAAGCTGGTTAAACAGAGGATGATTAGCTATGCTTAGAGAATAAGCCTTTACCCAATACTAGGTATAGAAAACACAGTAGGACTACGAAATAAAAACATGAATTAAGTAATATATGGTGTGAATATGAAGCAAGGAGATTTATTTGTGTAAGTCAATCACATTACTTCATACTTAAGCATAAAACTATAACGGGGTAGTAAGAAAATACCAATTTTATTTCACCTTGCTTAAGTAATTTACCCCACTCTTCTGAATACCATTTACCTCAATAATTTATTCCATATATTGTTTAATGTTAATTGGGTAATGATGTTATTTTAAATTAAATGAAAAAGTGTATTTCTTTTTAAAAAAAAAAGTATAGAGAAAAGAATTAAAATCCTACTTGCTCACCCAATATGCTAGTTATGATCACTGTTCAACTCAAAATTATACTGTACAAGCTCTGTTATCTTGCTATCTTATTATTCTTGCTAAAAATTACTCCAGTATATTTTATTATTCAGTTTGCTCTATTATATGAACCTCAGATGGTTACTTACCTTCATTACAATATTGAATGTCACTGTCAGAGTACACACCAAGTAAAAATTAATCACTTTAATCATCTTAGCTACAAAAGTTCCTTTCTTCACATTCAGCTGTGGGAGAAAATATACGTGAACGAAGAAATGAGTTATAAAAAAATCAACATTTAAAAATTAATCACAAGAATGATAAAAAGGGAAATCTAATTACCTGAAGGTACTTAGCAAGCATTAAGGCTGCTACTAAACTCAATAAAGGAGACACCAATAAAGCTGGATTCTCAAACTGAAGCAAATACCCCAGAAACAGAGAAAATACATAGATTTTATAAACTTCATGAACCTGTTGGGAAAATAAAGTGAATGAGAATAAACTAAATTTTATAGTACATCTTGTGATTAGTTTTGTTTAGAATAGATTTGATTACAATTATAAAGTAAATGCTCTACTAGAATTTAAGACAATATTACGCTCTGGCAAATGTTCAATTCATATTTTTAATGCTATGGTATATAATGAATTTAACACTTTCTTTTTAGAAAGAACCCCCCAGAAACAAAGTAAAGAGTTTTAAAACCACATGTGTCTAAATCATGCTGGAAGCCATCTAAGATACAGCTATTGGTCTCTACTCGTCCAGAACAAAAGAGAAAAAAGGAAACTAAAGACTCAGAAAAGAAAGTAGTTTACAAGACTAACAGTCTACACAAAGCACAGCCTCATCTATCCTGAGACCAGAAGAACTAGACAGTACCCAGCTACCACTACTGATTCTGATCAGGGCCACAACAGATGGATCCTGATAGAACGGGAGGAAAATGTGGGACAGAACTCAAATTCTTAAAAAGTCCAGACTTACTGGACCAGTTGAGACTACAGAACTCCTCAAGATTATCGCCCTGAGATACTCTTTATTTATGTTTATTATTGTACATTAGGTGAAAGTTTACAGAGCAAATTAGTTTCCCATTTGATAGTTTGTACAAAAAGTATTTCATGATCTTGGTTTCATTCCCCATAATGTGTGAGCACTCTCCCCATTTCTGCCCTGGGTTCCCCGTTTCCTTTAGTCCTGATTTTCTACTCCTTCCTACCTTCGCATCTTTGCTTTTGGGCAGATATTACCCTTTGATATCCTGTAATTAATTGTTATAAGGAGTACGTTCCTATCAGGTGTTGTTGTGTATCTTACGGGCTTGTCTATCGTTTGGCTGGGAGGTAGTCTCTGGGAATGGCTTCAGTTCCAGGTCAGAAGGTTCTTAGGATCATAGTCTCAGGAGTTCCTCTAGTCTCTGTCAGACCAGTTAAGTCTGGTCTTTTTTGTGAATTTGATTTTTTGTTCTGCAATTTTGTTTCCTGCTCTGTCTAGGACCCTGTGTTATGATCCTTGTCAGAGCGGTCGGTAGTGCTAGGCAGGCACCATCTAGTTCTTCTGGTCTCAGGGTTGTGTAGGCTGTGGTTCATGTGGTCCATTACTCCTTTGGAGTAATTGCGCCCTTGGGTCTTTGGTTTTCTTAATTCTCCTTTGCTCTGGGTGGCAAGAGATCAACAACTGTATCTTAAAAGGCCTCTCGCAAGTTTTTAAGACACCAGATGCTACCCTGAGATACTCATTAAACCTTAAACTGAAATTACCCCTTGAGCTAATCTTTTGATTGGTTCATAAAATAAAGAATATCATCTGTGAGTAATGAGCTTCTTTAAAAAATCATCTACGGGAGACCAAATGGTCAAAAATTACTCTAAAGCAAAGATAAGAAGGTAAGGGGGCAGGGAAACCAGAGTACTGGAAATGGTACAACCAGAATGGAATGAATGAGAATGATGACATATTGTGAAAAATGTAACCAATATCACTGAATAATCTGTGTAGAAATTGTTAAATGGGAACTTAATTTGTTGTGTAAACTTTCACGTTAAACATAATAAAACATTATTTTAAACAAAAAATCATGCTCGAGGAACATTCTTTAGTCCCAGGCTCTGGCTTAATTTCACTTGGCTTGCCCAAAGTTTTATGTTCCCTATTATTAAAATCCATCTTTATACAAATTTGCAAAAATTACAAGAATCTGTAAAATTCATAGTTCTTGGAGGCAATTCCAAACGCAACCCAGTGAAAATTTATGATGAAATATACACCCACAGAAAAGTATTTTTGCTTTTGGTCCAGTTACTACATAACAATTATCCTAAGAAAGTTAAATTCAATGTCCTAATACAAGATCTCCCAGGAAAGTGATATGTCTTACTAGATTTCTTTTGTAAACTTAAATAGTATAATTATTTAATCTATCATGAAGTTAATGAATTTTAGAAAGGGAACATTAAGTTGAAACCCAGGCATTATTAGTTAACGAAAGAAGTCAAAAGGCAGTGTGTTAAAAGTAAAAAAATAAAACAAAACGAGAAAGAAATTCCTAAGAATATAGAGCCATTAAAAAAAAGAAAACAAGGTATTTAACTGTTGGAAGTCAGGATGCTAGCTACTCTTGGGGGGCTAAAGTAGTGACTGGAGAGGTCACCATGGGGTCTTCTGGTTACTAGTAATGTTCTCTTTCTTCATTTGGGTGCTGGATCTGCACGTGTGCTGGCTCTGCGCATGTGTGCCAGTTACTGAGTAACTGTCTATCAGTTCCAAACTCACCCTCTATGCTCTGCCTTATAATGCTGGGGATGGGACTCTGAACTGCGTTTTTGCTTTTCCAGTTGGCTCCCTGCTAAACTCTGCCAAGAGGGAATGCTAGAGGGAGATTGCAAGGTTGGAGGCGAACTGCCAACCTTTTGGTTAGCAGCCATAGCTCTTAAGCACTACACCACCAGCGTTACCAAGGTTGGAGGAGGAGGAAACAATTTGCTTTCTGTTGCTTCCTGTCTGCCTGCAGTTCCTAATATCACTATCAGTAGAACTTCACCCCGACAAAAACAATTCCTTCCTGCTGAAGCAGCTGAATGCAGTTGAAGTTTTTCCAACACCTGAAGAACCAGCTTCACTGTACCCTCTCGCCCCGGGGACCCCGAGACCAGCCAACCAGAGCCTTATCCTCAGAGGTGTGCATCCCAGTTCCACAGGGCTGTTCTTTTTAGCTCAGAGACAGCAGCAAAGCTGAGCAATGGTCCCTCCTCAGAGGTTTAAGTTTCAGCTTCATGTGGTCCCTCCTTTGTATTTCTAAGCTTTAATAATTCCAAAGACTTCCCCTTATTCCCTCAGCCCTAGGGGATGTACCTGCTTCCTGCAGTTGCTACCACTAGGATACCTGAGTTCTTTTTATCCTTCTGATTAATGAGTTAACAACATTATGCCTGGTTAACAATTCTTTACATTAAATTAAATTCAAATAAATATTGGGACTCATCAGGGTTCTGGACCATCTGGGCATATGAAATGAAGAAAAAGAAGAGAAGAGCAAGACATAAGAAGTACCGAATAAATGTTTGGTAAAGGGAAGAAAGATAAGAAAGGAAAACCTTTATCTACTGCTGATGGGAGCATAAACTAACATAACCACTCTGGAGAAAGGCTTGACATTATTTAGTTAGGTTGAATATATACATACACTTTGACTTATAATTCCATTACTAGGTATACACTCCAGAGAAATCTTGTACATATGTGAGAGGTGACACATATAAGAATGCTAACAGCAGCACTGGTCATATGAACAATACACTAGAAAAAAACAAAATGTCCATCAACAATATAAATTAAAAAAAATAAATGAAATATAGTTCGTATATCACTGTCGATGGATCTCAAAAGCAAATCAGGTAAAAGTAAATAATGTATTATTTAAAATATATATTTTTAGGAATATATAGATAGGCAGCAAAAATAATTTTTTAAAAAGGAAAAGATTAACAAATTCAGGAATAGTTAGCCTCTGTCAGGGAAGGAGCAGGATATGACTTAGGAAGAGTAAAAGAGGGACCTTCCAGGATATTTAAATATCCCATTTCTTCACCTGGGTGGTAAAATACTCATATTTTATTCTATAAACTGATATTCAGCATGCATATACTCTTTTGTACATGTTTTATATTCCTTTTTTTTTTTTTTTAAATAAACAAAGAGAAGGAGGAGGCATGGCCAGAAATAGAGAGGAAACACAGGGGTGACTTGAATTAAGAAGGCTGTGTCTAAGGAATTTTCAAAGTGCTCCTAAAAGTGCTGGGGGAGAATGAGTTCAGTAATCTTTTTAGTATAGGCATAAATCCTTCAAAATAAACCTTAAAAGCTAATTTTTTTTTTAATTGTGCCTTAGGTGAACGTTTACCGCTTAAGTCAGTTTCTCATAGAAAAATTTATACACGTATTGTCATGTGACCCTAGCTGCAATCCCTACAATGTGACAGCACACTCCCCCTTTCCACCCTGGGCTTCCCGTGTCCATTCAACCAGCTCCTATCCCTTTCTGCCTTCTCATCCTGCCTCTGGACAGGAGCTGCCCATTGAGTCTTGTGTATCTACTTGAACTAGGAAACACACTCTTCACGAGTATTATTTTATGTTTTATAGCCCAGTCTAATCTTTGTCTGAAGAGTTGGCCTCGGGAATGGTTTTAGTTCTGGGTTAACAGAGAGTCCAGGGGTCATGTCTTCTGGGGTTCCTCTAGTCTCAATGAGACCATTAAGTCTGGTCTTTTCACGTGAATTTGAGTGCTGCACCCAACTTTTCTCCTGCTCCGTCCGGGATTCTGTTGCATTCTCTGTCAGGGCAGTCATTGGTGGTAAAAGCTAAATGGTTTTAAGATACAACACTACTAAAACATTTACTCTAGATTTAAAATCAGAATTTCAAAATGCCATATACCTTGTCACTTTGCTCCAGTGAAAAGCTATCTAGCAGGAATAGAGATATAGCTTGGAGAAACAGGAGATAGTGGCTGTATTCCCACATCATCATAAAAGTGTAAGTTGAAGCACTCATCAATAAGTAGCAAAACCTCTAGGGAAAACAAAAAGAAAGGAACTAAATATCAATGGCCTTATTACTATAAAAAACCTATGTGGTTTTTACCTCAAAGTTGCAGTTCTGCTATTGGTTCAACTTTAAGCTACATAACTCTTGAAGCTTCATTTTTAAATCACGTAACTATTACTAAACCCTTACATAAAGAATAAGATTTTAGATCAAGCACTCTAGAAAGAGAAATCAACCATTGTCCCTCAGTGTTCACCATCATATTAAGAACTTCAGGAAGACAAAGGAAAAAAATAATTTATTGTTAATCAGATTACAGAATAACAGTATTATTCTTTATATCCTTTACTATGTAGTAACTAGGTTTCATGGAATATAACTTAACTTTTAATATGACTAGCTTTAAAATGATGTGCCACATTTGCAATGTATTTGAATTAACTGTGATTGATAAAACAGATGTGAATCTTACCTCTGTGTAAGTATTTAAATTGCTTTTTAAATAGCCTGTAAGTGCAGCAACTTGACATGCAAAATATGGTAATGCCCAGTTTTCTCTTAAAGGAATGGAGTATTCAATTCTTGTTGTATCTACCCTAAAATAAACCACAGATGAACATTAACATAACAAGACGTTATGCTGTGTAACACTATACTTTCAAAGCACTTTCATACCTATCTCACTGTTCAACATGACAATCCTATGAGGCAGGCATAGACAGAACCACCACTGGCCTATACAGCATCATTGGGCAAATTAATAGTATCTCACATACCCCTCACCTCTCCATCCACCCTCCCCCTGACAAGGAATACTCAGTGCTGTTGTGCACTGCTTGGTGAACAGATGGGCCTCTGTGAGAATTTGAAAAAGGTATCCCTTTGTGAGCAGACATAGCCCCTGCTAAGGCACACAGCTTGTTGCACTTCTTGGATTTCAGCCCCTACCCTCCTCACTGCCCCTGACGAGACAGCTACCCTTCTCTAGAGCACAATCTGCACTACCATAATCAACCGGCCTGGGGAGCCAAAGTTCTTATCCCCCTTCAAATAAGGAATAGGAAGCTCAGAGAGGTGATATGATTTAAACAAGATGGGCATGTTTGCACGTATAGCTAACGGGTGGCACAACTGGGATTTTTTTAAACCCAGAATTAACAATACAGTTCATGAAGGAGCCCTGTTAGCATAACAGTTAAGAGCTCTGCTGCTATCTAAAAGGTTGGCGGGTCAAAGTAACCCAACGGCTTCACGTGAGAAACACCTGGTGATTTGCTCTTGTACAGATTACAGCTAGAAAACCCTACAGAGCGGCTCTCCTCTGTCACATGGAGTCTCTATGAGTTGAAAATCAACTCAGCGGCACCTAACAAGAAGTCCTTCGTGGGACATATCTAGAGATCTTTGAGAATTCCAAGAATCTCAAACAAGGAAATGTTTCGTAGGCTCCTCCTAAATTTCACCTAGATCACTTTTCATTGAGAGCTTGTTTCCTGCGCATATCCTCACAAATGGACTACCTTTTCAACAATCATTAAGTTTGGATATCTGACAATGGCCAATTTCCATACAAAAGCAAAGGTGCTATTATTTTTTTTTACAAGATTACGAAAATTGCTGCATAACTCTCACAAGTAACAGAGATGGGCATGTTTGCATGTATTTTGGTTCATACACTAGCCAAGTGACATACTTCTGCATAGTAGAGTTAGTAAGTTACATTTCCAGTCATAACTATTATGAGCTGCTGGGTTGTTTGCAAACAGTCAATACTACAAATATTAAATTCTAATTGGTCAAAAATCTACAGTTGCTCGAAAGGTTAGATATGAAGATTAGGGGGCACTGAGTTTTTGACAATGGTGGAGGAATAATTTGGAAAAGGAGGGTGAGAATGGTTGCACAACTTGAAGAATATAATCAATGTCACTGAACTGTACATGCAGAAATGTTGAACTGATATATGTTTGGCTGTGTATATTTTCAACAACAAAAAAATAAATAAATTATTT